GGAAATCATTTCCTTACTTGAGATGAACAAGTTTTTGCTACTGGAACTTGTTCATTGTTCTAAAAGTGTCCCCCTCTGCTTCCTGCCCTGTCCAGTCTACAAAGCCTGTGTTCAATGTCTCTCTTCTGTGAAGCTGTGTCCACCGCTCCCCCTTTGCTAGATACCATCTCTTATTTCTTCTTATCCCAAAACCAGCATAAGGATCCATATCACTAACCGAAAAACTAGGTTGTTAAAATGAGGAGATTAAATGCCACTTTTTTGGTTCATTTCTTTAATCATATGTGTTTTTTGGCTTATTAGAAGTAGGTTATACCTAAGGTAGGATTTTGTTAGTGTATTTGTATAAGGAGGGAAGCACCACTAATATTCATAGTGTAGGAATCATAATTATGCAGTTAATTTAGACACATTCTGCTAGCTGGACTGATGTCCTGTGACTCAGATTTGTTTAATGCTATACATTTCCCATACATACTCTTATTTAAAAATGTGAAGTTAACTCTGAAAGAATTTAAAACAAGATATATACTTGGAGGAGTGGGCTGAGGGAGTAAAGGTAAATAGGGGAAAACAAGGTGTTGGAACAAAAGAAAAACATTGCCAAGATGAAAAAAAATGTGTAATATAAAATTATACCTATATAATTTTATGCAACTGTGAATAAACCCATGAACAGTGACCGAAAGGAAATACAACTTAAAGACGTTACACTGTATGGTTGTCACATGACAAGTTTTGTGACCTTGGGTAAGTCCTGAACCTTCCCCTAACTTCAGTTTTCTTATCTATAAAGTCAGGATGAGAACAGTACCTACCTCTAAGGAGTTGTGGAAGTTACATGTCTAAATAGACAGCAACTAGGGGACCAGCAGTTGGCATAAAGGTCACATCACAGAACTCCTACATAGTTGACCATGGTTTGAGTTCTGGATCCAGTGACTTAAAACTCATTTGGGGGCAGCAGGTGGCATGTTGGTTGGGAGTGCTAGACTCCCACAAGGCTGACCATGGTTTGAGTCCCAGACCTGGAGGCTTGCTTTCTCACTTTCCCTCTGTCTCTCACTCTATCCCTCTCTGGTCAAATTAAAATAAATAAATAAAGTTTAATAAAATAATTCTTTAAAAAAAAAACTGATACAGTGTGCATTTGCATGTGTCCCCAAGATCCTGAGAGGAGAATGGAAAAGGGATTGCAGTGTGTAAATCCTCCTGGGGACTAATTTTTTGCTTACTATCTCTGTCTCTCTGTGAGTGCACATGCCCTATAGCAAAAATCTCTACAAATAAATAATAAATAAATAAATAAATAAATAAGGCTCCTGTAATAGAATAGTGTTTCCACCATTGTAGTTCCCTGGTATGATAGACTCTATGCTATTTTCAAATTAGGTTTTGTAGCTTTGCTTTTCTTGTAGTTTTTCCTTGTCTCACCCATCTTCTTTGTTTATTTCGGTTGATTTTCTTTTTTTTTAAATTAATTAATTTTTTTTTAATTTCATTTTCTTTTATACATTCAATCACATTATTATTTGGCTTACAAAATGAATATTTCAACAGGTGAACATTTCTCCCTAGGACAGTTGATAAAACTATAAAATATCTTCAACAGATAATACTACATTTCTTTATGCCATTAATGCTTTGCCTCCCTATTTTTCTTCTAAATGTCCTTCCTCAGACCCTCCTCTTTCACACACACTATATATGGTATATTTACATATATATATACTGTGTTTTTATATCCTTTAGTCAATTAGTTTCAGTCATAGAGTGCAGATACTCGGTATATATTTAGTGGGGGCATACAATGCGTATCCTTCATAGCCTGGTTTGCTTCACTCAGCAGTAAATCTTCCATATTCATTTACTTCCTGTCAAAAGCCAGGTTTTTTGTTGTTGTTGTTATTTTTTTTAATGGCTGAATAGTATTCCGCAGAGTATATGTGCCACAGTTTTTCTGTCCATTCATCTGTTCATGGGCATTTGTTGATATGTTTTCTCTTTGTTTTTCTTTTTCTCATACTTCAGTCTATATTTTTGAGATCTCAAAAGTTTCCTGACCTATTGCATTGGATTCTGCTAGAAATAATTTTCAAAAGTATAGTTTTTTTTGTGTTTTGTTTTTTGGTTTTTGTTTTGTTTTTTTTTGTTTTCTTTATGCTCTTTTTTTGCTTTCTCTCTCTCTCCCTCCTTATTCGCTATAGTTAGCACACACTTAACAAGGGGAGGAGAAGGGGGGAGAGAGAGAGAGAGAGAGAAAGAGAGAAAGCTACCCTCAAGGAAGATGACCATGCCACCATCCCTTCTCCATTCTCCTCTTGGAATTTTGGGCATGCACTCATACACACCCAGCCTATTTTTCAAGCCAACAGGTCCCAGACTTGAACTGCACATTTGTCCATGTGGGATCCAGGTGCCTCAACCACCATGCCACCTGGCTGCCTTCTTTATGCTATTTCTTTTCCTAACTAGGAAGTCTTTTTTTCATAGATCATGTGTCATTTGTTTATTTATTTTCCCTTACCCATCCTCAAAGAAGATAATAATTCTTAGAAAATGTCTTAGATGAGGAACAAATAAGTAGTTAATTGAAAGAAATGCTTAAAGTGAGGAATTTGACAAATTTATATGTTCATTTTAAATAATTTGGTATTAACTTAAATCATATAAACCTATTTTATGCCCTAGTCTTTAATACAGCCCCCATGCTCTTGTCCAAATTGAGTTGATTTGAGACTTACACTAGCCTTGGCCCATCTAAGATTTCTAGTTTAATGTCTTTTTCTTTTCTTTTCTTTTTCTTTTTTTTTTTTTGAGAGGTTGTTGCTGTATGTAGGGCACATGTGCTCACCAGCAAGAGAGTGACAGAGAGACAGAAAGTGAGAAATCACCCCCCCAGGGGGGATGGCCATGCCACAGTCTCTTCTCCTCCATTCTCCTCTCAGGATCTTGGGCACACATGCACACATGCCCAGCTTGAGTTTAAGTCACCAGGTCCAGGACTTGAACCATGGTCGACTACATGGGGGTTCAGCAACATAGCCATTACGCCATCTGCTGGTACCTATAGTTTCATTACTTTAAAGTAAAATGGGAGCTTATATATATTAACAAAGCAAACTGAGTGCAGAATCTTTTTAAATTTTTATGTTTATTTTCTACTGATTCATAGTTGTCGATTATGTTTTGATAGCAATTGTTTTAGTGACTGCCCATATCATTGGATTTGGGGTCTATAGAAGTAACAGCTCCATTTTTGTGTTTGTATTTCATTGGTCAGATGTCCTATTACCTAATTATACTAACAAGTACAGCTTCTCATAACAGGGTTTGGAATAAACCATACTGAATCTTGTAAGTATGATTTAGCTAGTAACCAAGTGAGCAGAGGTGCCAAAGAGTAGCCTTATAGTCAGGAATGTTCTATTGTATGAGAACTGAGTGGTGGATCACAAAGCCTCAGTGAATCCAGAGTCTATTAAATGGAAGGCAGTTAAGGGAACTTCTAACACAGTGATTGTTCTCAAACTATATGATATCTGAGAATTATCTGGACACCTTGGTAAAGATTGCTGGGCCTCAGGACCAGCAGATGGTATGGTAACTAAGGCACTGAAGTCCCACATGGTTGACCACAGTTTTAGTCCCAGACTCGAACTAGTGACTTGAGAATCATGTCGGGCACATATGTGTGCATGCCCAAAGTTCTGAGAGAAGAATGAAGTAAGGGGACTGTGGCATGACCATCCCCCCTAGAGGTGGGATGATTTCTTGCTTTCCCTGTCTCTTTCCAGAGAGTGCACTTGTCCTACGGCAAAAACCTTAAAAAAAAAAAATTACTGGGCTGCAGCCTAGTTTCTGATCCACTGATACTAAGGTGAGACCAAATAATTTGCTTACATTTCTTTTCTTTGTTTTGAGAGGTTTTCGCTATAGGGTGCGTGTGCTCACCAGAAAGACACAGAGAGACAGAAATTGAGCAATCACCCCAAGGGAGAATGGCCATGCTGCAGTCCCTTATCCTCCATTCTCCTCTCGGGATCTTGGGCACACACGCGCAAGTGCCTGGCATGAGTTTAAGACACTGGGTCCGGGACTCAAACTGCGGTTGACTACATGGGAGTCCAGTGACATAGCCATTATGCCAACTGTTGGCCCCCTTATATTTCTTAGAAGTTCCAGATGATGCTGGTTTGCTGGCCCAAGGAACACATTTTGCAAAACAAGTCAAACACAGGTTTTGTTGTGTTTGTGTGGATAGGGACAGGTCCCCCTAAAATCAGCACTGGGCAGGAAGCCAAGTGTTATTTTTCCATTTGTCTCTACCCATCTTGTAGTGGATATTTCTGTCATGATTGTACATAGGTCTCTACTGTAGTACTGTGTTGACACTTTTAACCATGTCTGTGTGTGTGTGTGTGTGTGTGTGTGTGTGTGTAGCAGGGGAAGGGAGGTTACCTAGGAACCTTAACTGAAAGTTGGATAAGATACAAGGAAAGTTTTTAAAGTCTTCATTTGCATTGTCTTCTTTCGCTTTTGCTCTTTTTAAAGTTTCTTTCTTTCTTTCACAAGAGTGAGAGACAGAAAGATGAGCGCCCTAAACTCCATGATCTTCCCCTCCACTATAACTTCTCAGCTGGCCGGAATCATGGGACTGCATGCCCAGCATTTACTGGTGGACCAGGGAACTGAGCCCATGACCTTCCATATGGATCCAGCTTCCCTTGAGCAGCACATTACCATTGAACCAGCCCTTCTTTTGCTTTCTTAAAAAATATGAAACTACTAGCTAACCCTTTCAACTTTTCTGGGTATGTTGTTTCTAAATCACAAGTCCCCCAGTCTTTTCACAGGAAAAAAAATTCTGTCAAAACACTTGTGGTTGGTGATAGCTTGCCAGCTGCAGTGTGCAAAGGCAGCAATATGAGTGTATAAACAGCAAGCTGAAGACTTTGAGAGAGATAGATTATCTGATTGCTCTGTAATCTCCTTTTCAGAACTGGCTGACAGAACTGGAGATCTTTGCTATAATCTTCTCAGCTGCCATCCATGACTATGAGCATACCGGAACAACAAACAATTTCCACATTCAGACTCGGTGAGGATGCCAGAATGTGTGGCAAGAGGGCAGGGAGAAGAAAGGTGTTAGATGCCTTTTCTCGGCATTGTTGTCCTGTTTTGAATTTCTATAAAGATGAACTTATAAATAAGACATCAGTCTGGTCAGCTTCAATCAAGCTATCTACTCCTAATTTTTATATTCTATTCAGATCTAATGTGGATATCCTTTCTTTATTCTAATGCTTGTTATTTGTTTGTTTATGTATTAGAACTTTCCATAGTTAATAAAAATCACTAAAGAAATTACTAGATAATTTGAACATTTAAAGGAAGTCCTTGGTTGAGGAATATTATTCCTTGTAAATAGTTCTTCATATTCAGTTCAGAGCCTCTGGAGAGTGACACAGAATTATCTCAATGATATTTAATTTTATTGTTTATGTATTTGCTGTTCATACTCTACCTACTTCTAATAGAAGATGAGGCAGTTTACATAAATCTCCAGATGTTGCATAAACTAAACCAATCAGGGTGAGTGATGATTGAAGTGTTTCTGTTGACATTAACAGTAACTGAGTCCTCTTATCCTCTGACCTCCAGGGTTCTGAAGGGGTCTTCTTCTTGTCCTCTCTGATCTCATCTCTGCTCTGCACAGTGCTTGTATTGGTCCCTGGCACAGGGCTTGGGGAGCTAGGTTGTCTTATGTAGGCTACCTTTTCCCTGGGCAACCTATGCATCTCCTAATGAAGTGCACCCATTCCTCTGCTAAGAATGTTAACTATGGGCTCAATCTGAACCTCCTGACCAGTAATAGACATCACTGTGTGTGTGTGTGTGTGTGTATGTGTAGAGCACGTACACTCGCCAGACAGACAGAGAGAGATAGAGAGAGAGAAAGCGAGAAATCACCCCCCAGCGGGGATGGCCACACTGCAATCCTTTCTCCTCCATTCTCCTCTCAGGATCTTGGGCACGCACGCACACGCACCTGGCATGAGTTTTAAGCCACCAGATCCAGGACTCAAACCGCAGTCGACTACATGGGAGTTCAGCGACATAGCATTTACGCTAACTGCTGGTCCCAACATCACTGTATATTAACTTTGGTATTTTTAATGACCAAACTTTGCATTTATGCCTAGCATTCCTCTCAGTGCAGAATTCCAGGCAAGCAGTAGCAGTCAATTATCATTTGCACTTAGGATAAAACTTTATCTGCCCTCTACTGGCCCAAGAACTAATTATCTCTGAGGACAATGATGTGAAACTAGGGAGAATATAATATTAGGGTTAATTGAGTCTCAACATCAAATCAAATAAGCTTAGATTTAGAAAAAGGTAGTAAGATGAAGAGAAAGATTATAGCAGGAAGGGGTAGGCGTTAAACACCAAATAAATACCTGCTGATTTCACTTGAAAAAGCAGGTGCATACTCTAGATATGTTTGTGTTTGTTAAATCAATCTACATGTATTTAATTAACTCAGCATTTAATTACGTGTTCACAAAAGAGAACAATATCGTTTGATCTCTGTTCTGAAGGGAATTTTCGATGGAAATAGAAGCAGACAAAGGAACTTAAGGTGTTGCTTTAGTTCCTCTGTCTTGCCTTCTCATTTAGAGTACTCTTAGCTACTAGAAACAACCTTTTGTTGTTTCTAGTAATCTTAGGGCAATCTTTGTTTTGAGGACAGAAGCTGTGGTGAATATCACCTGCTATTCAGGAAGAGGTGGTTGGAACAAATATGCATGGGTCGTGCCTGGAGATCAGTATCAACATTAGTCACAACTCAGAGGAGAAGGGCTTGATTACAGGAGTTGGAAAGATGGTTTAACATCAGTTATTCAACAGAGCTTTCACCTCGGCATTTGCTTGTTTTCTATTATCTCTAAAATAGGGAAAATGTTAGTGGGTTCAGTTAAGCTTGGTTTGCAGTGAAATGTAAACATTTGTCTTTTTTCAATAGAACTTTAACCAAAGCATCATAACGCATGTGACCCCTTTTTAAAACACTAAGTCTGTGACCAGGTCCTTTATCCTTTGAGGGGAAAAATGTTAAGCATAACACGCTTTTCAGGTGTGTTAGAGACATCAAAAAGTTTGGCCAGTGATAGCTGGAGGTAATCTTAGGGGGCCACTGGTCCAACTGTCAGAAGAATTTGCCATTACCTCAGCCAAGCTACTGTGGGGCTCTAAGAAGTTATTTTACACCTTATCAGCTTCCTTGATGAGAAACAAACAAACTCTAGTAATCTAAGCTTTCATTAAATTAAAGATATTAAAAGATAGAAGTGTATCACTAGATATCCTACAGACGTTGAAAGTAATATAGGTTAAAGTTTTGAGTTTTTACATATGAATAGTCCCCTTTTTATTTATTTATTATTATTTTTTGAGAGAGAGATTTTTGCTATAGGTGTATGTGCTTGCTGGAGAGACAGAATGAGACAGAGAGACAGAAAATGAGAAATTACCCCCTCCCCCAGGGAAGATGGTCATGTTGCAATTCCTTCTCCATTCTCCTCTCTGGATTTTAGGAACACACACGCATGCATCCAGTGCGAGTTTGAAGCCACTGGATCTGGCACTCAAGCTGCAGTTGGCCATGTGGGAGTCCAGTAATGTAACAATTACACTATCTTATGGTCCTATGGATAATCACTTTCTTAAAGCACAAAACACCATTTGTTGAAAGACCATCATTTTTCTGTTGAATTGCCTTCATTTCTTTATCAAAAGTCAGTTGACCATATTTATATCAATTTATTTCTAAGCTCTCTAGTCAGTTCCATGAATTTACATGGTTATACTTTCACTAAGTTTACACCATCTTTTTTTTTTCCCCTGAGGGATTTTTTTGCTATAGGACATATGCACTTGCCAGAGAGACAGAAAGAGGGAAATCATCCCCTAGAGGGCATAGCCATGCCGCAATCCCTTCTTCATTCTCCTCTTGGGATTTTGGGCATGCATACACATGCACCCAGCATGGTTCAAGCCACTAGTCAACCATGTGGGAGTCCAGTGCGTTAACCACTACACCACCTGTTGGCCCTGGTTTACACCAACTTGATTACTGTAGCTTTACTGTAAATCTTGAAATCAGGCTGCGTGAGTTTCCTAAATTTGTTCTCCTTTCTGAAATTCTTTGAACTATTCTAACTACTTTGAATTATCATATAAAATAATAATTAAATACTGTGTAGCAATAAAAATGAATGAACTATTGATAGATATAACAAAATAGATAATTCTTGAATTTGCTGCCCTACCCAAAATGGGACAGATTCAAAAGCTATATGGTTCATTATTTCATTCATTTAATACTTTGGAAAAGCAAAATTGTAGAGATAGAGGACACATTAGTGGTTTTCAGGGAAAGAACAACACAAAAGTACAGCACAATAGAGTTACATGTGTTAAAGAATCTGTTCTGTATGTCGTTTGTAGTGTTAGGTGCTGCATAACTCCATTTATGAGAACTAAGGGAATTGTACAGTAAAATGAGTGAATGCTATTTAAAACTAAAATTTTTAAATATTTCAAACAAACAAACAAAAATGAAAGAAGATATTATACATCGAATGTTTGGTGACATTCAATTTAGAATGGTCTTTGAGACAGTGACTAACAATGGTCATATAATCTTTATTTTGACTTTTATTGTTTGAAAGTTTGCTTATTCATTTCTTCTGTGAGCAAGAGAGACACACAGAGAGAGACAGAACACAACTCCAACATATTATTGATGCCATGATCTTTTTCCAACCCTTAGCTGGTCCCAGATCACGAGTAAGCATGTACCCAGGGTCCTTAAGGAGGTCTTCAAACTTGAACAGGGAACTGTTCTATGATATTGCCCTTCTAAATACCACATTTTATTGCTGTGCCAATATCTAATTTTCTCATATAACCTTTCACTATTTTTCATTCTCAATTTTCCACTAACGGCTTTTGCACGGAAAACGTTAAGATTAGGCTACTACCAGAGTACCCATCAGATGATATGCATCCAGAGAATTACAACTAAAATAAATAAACCAATGCCTTCTTTGAATAAAATAAAAATAAAAACTTAAAGTTATTTTAAAAAATAAATGAAGTTTGACATGACCTACATTTTTTAAAATTATGTTTGGCACTGATACAGAAAATTGAGATAGGTTATAAAACAGTTTTCAGAGTGTTCTAGGATGGAAATCACATATTTCACACCCATATATCGATAGTAAAATACCTTCCATACATTTATTGATAATTTGTAGGGTTATTTTGAGCTTATGGTTAATATAAATGGTATGTGGACAAAGATCATAGCCTATGAGAGTTAATGAAGACATGTTAACTGTTTAGCATCCTAAATAATTTTGCTTGACTCTCTGTTCAGGTCTGATCCAGCTATTCTATACAATGATAGATCTGTACTGGAAAATCATCATTTAAGTGCAGCCTATCGCCTTCTGCAAGAGGATGAAGAAATGAATATTTTGATCAACCTCTCAAAGGATGACTGGCGGTAAGGACGAGATAAGAGAGAATTAGAAGTCAGGGAAGGATCTATGAAGATAGGTAAAATACACTGCTTTTTTTTTTCTTTTAAGTATTTATTTCTTCTGAGAGAGAAAGAGGCAGGGAAGAAGGACGGACATTCTTAACATGGTCCTCATGCTGCTATCCACCCTTAGCCTCAGCCAGCCTGGATTACAGGCACACATGCGCACCCCTAGTGTGAATAGGGAGACCCCAGGACATGAACCTGGAACCTTCCTTGCTCTGTGCTACTAGTTAATCCAAAGTATGTTACTTTTGAAGCAATAATACACTGTTTAAAATTGTTATTGATATTTCTCTCACTATTTTTTCTTAATACAAATAGCCAAATGTTTTAAATAAAGGCCGTAGAATGTAAAGATTATATTGCTATTATATTTTGCCATTATTGCATTCTTTTTTTATTAATGAATTAGGAGATTAAATCAGTCTAGATGAAATCATTCAGTATTATGCTAAAATTTTTTAAGGAAAAAGGTTTGAAAAACCCCCTCAGGACCAGCAGTTGGTGTAATGGCTATGTCGCCAGATTCCCATGTAGTTGACCATGGTTCAAGTCCCAGACCAGGTGGCTTAAATTCATGCTGGGCATGTGTGCGTGTGTGCCCAAGATCCTGAGAGGAGAATGGAGGAGAAGGGATTGCAGCGTCGCCATCCCCCCTAGAGGGTGATTTCTCACTTTCTAATAAATTATTTCTATATAAAATAATTTATATTTGAGTTAGACTTTTTTTTTTCTTTCAAGTTTCTTTAACTTTAAAGACAGACAGAGAAGAGATAAGGATGCCTCATAGGGTCTTATCGTGTTGCGATCATCTCCATACTCTTTTAGACACTCAGGATCTTGGCCATTTTTGTGTACTTAGTTTGTTCAGGTCAATCCAGGAATCAAACCTAGGGACTCTCCCATACAGTTCCAGCAATTCACAGTGGTGCCCCAATAATTATCACATTATAGCTGGGCCTTATTTAGACTTCTTAAAATGATGTGAGTTGATTTTTGTTAATGATGAGAGAAAGGAGAAGTTATATTTTTCTGCAGGTGGATATCCAGTTTTTACAGCACCACTTGCTAAAGTGATTTTCTTTTTCCCACTGGATTAACTTGTGTCTTTAGTCAAAAATCAGTTGACTGTTTATTTTGAGGTTTATTTATGGGTTCTCTATTCTGTTCACTTGGTCTATGTGCCTATTTTAATGCCAGTACCATATTGTTTTGAGTATCACAACTTTGTAATATATTTTGGGGCCAGGGAGTGAAATGCCTTCTGCTTCCCTTCTTTTTGCACAGTATTGCTTTGGTGGTATGAGGCCTTTTATGATTTCAGGCAAATTTTATGGTTGTTTTTATCTAATTCTGTGAAGAATGGTTCAGGTCATTTGACTGAGATTGCATTAATTTTTAAAATTATTTTGGGTAGAACTGACATTTTGAATATGTTAATTTTTCCAATCCAGGAACATGGAATATCCTTCCAATTTTTGTATTATTATCTATTTCTTTTTTTAAAGTTCTTCATAGTTTCCCTTGTAGAGACCTTTTGACTTCTTTGGTTAGGTTTATTCATAGATATCTTATTTATTTTGTTGCTATTATAAATGGGACTGCTTTTTTCAATTCTACTTCAGTCTGTGCACTGTTGGTATACAGAAATGCTATAGATTTTTGTGTGTTGACTTTGTTTCCTGCTACTTTACTATATTAATTTATCACTTCTAGGAGGTTTTTTTTTTTTTTGGTAGATTCTTTGGATTTTTATGTTTATAATCATGTCATCTACAGATAGAGACAATTTCACTTCTTTCCCTTTTTCCTATTTGAATGCCTTTTATTTTAGTCTCTTGTCTGATTGCATTGGCTAGACTTTCAGCACTATATGGAAAACAAGTGGAGAAAGTGGGTGGCCTTGTCTTGTTCCAATTTTTATTGGAAAAACTTTTACCTTTCCTCCATTCAGGATGATGCTAGCAATGGGTTTTTTATATATAGTTTTTATTGTGTTGAGAAAAGTTCCTTCTATGCCAATTTTGCTGAAAGTCTTCATCATGAAGAGATGTTGTGTATTATCAAATACTGTTTCTGTATCGATTGATATGATCATATCATTTTTACCTTTCCTTCTGTTATTACAATGTTAATGTTAACCATTAATGGTTTTGCATAATTTGAACTACCCTTGCATCCCTGGAATAAAGCCAACCTGGTTGTGATGTATGATCTCTTAAATGTGTCATTGGATATGATTTGAGAATATTTTGGATTTTTTACATGTGTATTCATCAGAGATATTGGTCTATAGTTTTCCTATTTTTTGATGTCCTTTTCTGTTTTTGGAATGAGGGTGATGGAAGGCTTATAGAATGAGTTTGGGAGGATTTCTTCCTTTTGAATATTTAGAAATAGTTTGAGTAGAATGGGGATTAGCTCTTCTTTAAAGGTTTTGTAGAACTCAGAAGTGAAGCCATCAGGACCTGGGCTTTTCTTTGTTGGAAGACCATTTATTACTAATTCAGTCTCATTGCTGTTACTGATCTAGTCAAGCTTTCTATGTCTTCCTGATCCAATCTTGGTAGGTTATATGTGTCTGGAAATTGACCCATCTCATCCAGATTGTTTTTGTTGTTGCTGGAGTATAGTTGCTCATAGAATTCTCTGATAATCTTTTGTATTTCTTTTATGTCTGTTGTAATCTTGCCTGTTCATTGCTGATTAAATTAATCTAGTTCCTTTCTCTGTTCATTAGTCTAGCTAATGGTGTGTCAATTTTGTTTATTTTGTTAGTTCTTTTATTTTCTATTTCATTTATTTCTGCTTGAATCTTTGTTATTTTTTTTCTCTTGGTGTTTTTGGGGGTTTATTTGGTTGTTTTTGATTTTTAGTTCCCTGAGGTGTGTTGTTATGTTGTCTATTTGCCACCTTTCCATTTTTTTCTTGTGAGCACGAATTGCTATGACGTTCCCTCTTATGACTGCTTTTTACTGTGTCCCATAGATTATGAAAACTTGTGTGCTTGTTATCATTATTTACAATGAATCTTTTAATTTCAGTCTTAATTTCTTCTGTGATTGTGAAGTCATTCAGAAGTAGGTTGTTTAGTTTCCATGTTTTTGAATATTTCAGAGGGTTTTTCCTGCCATTAATCTCAAGTTTAATTCCTTTGTCATTGGAGAAGATGCTATATAGTTTCTACGCATTTAAATTTGTTTAGGCTTTCTTTGTGCCCTATCATGTGATCAGTCTTCAAAAATGTTCCATCGGAGGGTGATAAAAATGTATAATTTTATGGTTGTTGGGTGGAAGGTTCTATAGATGTCTGTCAAGTTCATTCGACTTATGGTATTGTTCAGATCCTGTATCTCTTTGTTTATTTTTTGTCTAGATGATCTGGCCAGAGGAGACAGTGAAGTGTTTAGATCTCCAATGATTATGTTACAGTCTCTCCTTTTTAATCAAGCATTCTATCTTTTACATATTTGGGTGTGCTATTGTTGGGTGCATAGATATGTATGAGTGTTATAGCTTCTTAATGAATTAGCCCTTTTAGTACTACATAGTGTCTTGCCTGTCTCTTCTGGAAGTTTTTGTCTTAAAATCTATTTTGTCTCAGATCAGTATTAGAATTCCAGCCTTTTAAAAATTTCCACTTACTTGGAATATCTTTTGCTAGCGATTCACTTTTAGTCTATCCTTGTCTTTATCTGTGAGAAGCATTTCTTGTGGGCAGCATATGGAGGGTCCTGTTTCTTTTTTCCATTCAGCCAGTCTTTGTCTTTTGATTGAATAGTTTAATTCATTGAAATAATTATCTTAATCCTTATAAAGTTCTAAATCTTGCTACAACTCAGCTAGTATATTTTAACTGAATGATCAGCATGTACTGCATGAGTATCTATGTGCCCACCATTTTGAAGAATTCAGAGAAGTAAGTCATACTGAACAATAAATCTGAAAAACCTCTTTTCAGTAAATGTAGTTATTAAAATGTACGGGAATATAGACCCAGCCAACATCTGAAAAATGTGGATCACTTCAGTTAGTCAGTATAAATCTTTAGGGAAAAAGAAATCCCCTGTACAATTTATAAGTTTGTAAAAGTATAATTTAAGGTTTGAATGTGACAGAGAACAGCTTCACACATATTCAGATACATCATGGTCTTAAAGGATTTTTATGAGGACTTGTTTAGATAGCACGTATTCCTGGCCTCGTGACAATCTAATGAAGTACCTGAAAACTTGCATACTTACTTAATGTATTTTCAAAGCATAGATATGACACTTCTGTCTTTCATTTTGTTATGGATTGTCTGCCTCTGTTTAGCTGTAGTTTTGTCAACTACAAATATACATATCTATATTATATATTGTCCTCCAGTATGGTAAAAAAAAATCATTCACTGTTTAATACTACTAGACTGCTGTATCAACATCTTAGCCCATCTTAATGGAATAAATCAGAACTTAATTTATACTGGAACATATTGATAGGCATGAATGCAACTATACTTATTGTTTATCATTAGCTCTGCCTTCTTATTGGTGGGCATTTGTGAAGTACCAGTCATAAATAATTTGAATATTGCCTCTGATTGAAGCAAGGTACAAAACTATGCAATTCAGAAAAATATAAGGTGAATTTGATGTAAGAAATGATCAAATGGAGGCCAGCTAGTGGTGTGGCAATTAAAGTGCTGAACTCCCACATTGCCAACCACTATTTTAGTCCCAGAAACTGGTGGCTTGCTTTCTCACTTTCTCTTTCTTTCTCTGTCTTTTTCTGTCTTTGTCTCTTTCTCTCTGGTGAGTGCATGTATCCTGTAGCAATTAAAATAATAATAAATAAAGAATTCTTTTAAAAAGTGATCAAACTAATTACTTGAAAATATAGTATGTGCTAGCCTTATATATTTATGTTTGTTATTCAGCACTGTATTTATTATCTTAGAGTGAAATAAAAGCATTACC